AGGAGGTGAAACGGGTCTGCCCCCACTGCTCTGCCCGGTTGTACTTGGAGGGGAAGGCCTTCCTGGACGGCCCAGCAGGCAACGCCCCGGCTGGCGGCGCGCCAGCGCCCGGACCTGTCGCCGCCGCCGCCTCCGCTGCCCAGAACGAGGAGCCCGCCGCCAAGAGGGCGCGGCTCGCAGCAGACTGCGTGGCAAAGCTAGCGCAAGCCAAGACCCTGTTAGACGTCGGCGCACTCGAGCAGGCAGAATTCGACCGCTTGAAAGCGGACCTCCTGGGAGGCATGTGACTGACGCACGCGGCGAACAGAAAACCGTCGTCACGCCACCGCCGCCGCCGCCGCCGCCACCGCCGCCGCCTCCACCGCCGCCGCCGCCGCCGCCACCGCCGCCGCCACCGCCGCCGCCGCCGCCGCCGCCGCCGCCGCCGCCGCCCGCCGCCGCCCGCCGCCGCCGCCGCCGCCGCCGCCGCCGCCGCCGCCCAAGGCCGTCTTCAGTGTAAATCACAGCAACTACAGCCGCCTGAGCCACCGGACCCTATTTTTTGCTACACCGAATGGCCCCGTAGTTGTTATGTAGTTGTTGGCTTTTCAAATAGAAAAAACTATTTCTTATGAAAAAGCAAACAACTACATAACAACTACGGGGCCATTTGGTGTGTAAAAAACAATACAGAACGCCCCTGGGGGCCGCACTTGCTGTAAATTTACAACTCAGATGCATGTCTGCCGAGACGACGTCGCTGGGGGGTCTCAGATGCGGTGCCCGCAGCAGTTTTTGCTCAAGCAAGCCTCGCCTCGCGCAGGGACTCCACCGCGCGGCGGCCCGCGCGGGGCCATGGTGGCCCGCCGCGTTGCGCGCGGCCGCGCCGCCGCGAAGGCGTCGCACGCTCGGCTGACGCCTTTCCAGCGCGGCATGATTTACATGGGCAGCCTCGCCGGCATGACCATGACGGACATCGCGGCCTCGGTGCAGAAGTGCGACGGCAGCTTCCCGTCCGTCAACGTCGTCAAGGACACCATCGAGAAAGCCGAGGCCCACGGCGGGTCTGCGTGGGACGGCGCCTCGAGCGGGCGCCCGGGGCGGCCCCGGGAGACGCTCGGCACCCTCGACAGGGAGATCTCCAAGCTGGTGCACAAAATGCGCGGCAGCGCCGTCGTGACCGCCACTTACGTCCGCCAGGTGATCAAGGCGGCCCGCAAAGTCGGCGTCCGCACAGTGCAGAGGCGCCTTCGGGAAGCTGGATTGCGCTGGTTGCGCCGCCGGCGGAAGACGCTCTTGTCCCAGGAGCACATGGCGGCCAGGTTGGCGTGGGTGGTATTCACGGTGTCACAGACTCCGGCCATGCTTTCGCGGTGGGCGTACACAGACGGAACGTCCTTCTACTTGGCGCGCACGGCCGAGGAGCACTTGGACAAGGGGCGGGCAGCCCTTGGAACTCACGTGTGGCGGGCAGCAGATGGCCACGACGCGCTCTACCAGGATTGCGTTGGTCCTTCCTCATATGCGAAGGCCCAGGGGCGCTGCGTGCGCATCTGGGGTTTGCTCTTCGCCGGGATGCTCTGCGTCTACGTGCTGCCCCAGGGCGAGGTCATGAACGCGGAGTGGTACACCTGGATCATCGAGAACAAGTTCCGCGAGTGGCTGGACGCGGCTCACTCCCGAGCCACGCGCGTCTTCCTGGTGCAGGACCACGAGCGCTGTCTGTGGTCGGACGAGCCCCAGGACGCCTTGGAGGACGAGAACATCCACCTCCTGGAGAAGTTCCCGAAGTGCAGCCAGGACCTCAACCCCATCGAGGTGGCCTGGCGCGAAGTGAAGGCACGAATGGACGGCACGATGCCGGCGAAGCCGGAGCCTCGCCCAGTTTTCCTGCGTCGCTTGCACCGCGCCGTTGCGTGGGTGAATGCGAACAGGGCGGAATACTTGTGGTACCTGTGCCACGCGCAGAAGGAGTGGGCGCAGGACGTCTGGGAGGCGAAGCCTCCAGGCGCGCGCACGAAGCACTGAGCTGGAAAAAGCGTCATCATCGGACTCGCTTGCCTCATCATCGTCGCCATCGTCGTCATTGCCACCAGCAGCAGTGGCATCATCATCGACGCGCCAGTTGCCAGCCCAGACTGTTTCGAATTTCAGTTCAGGGGAATGGCACCAACAGACAGGCTCAGGTACTCGCGAAACCCTTGCCCCCGCGCTCTTACTGGCGTCGCTGCCCCAAAGAAAGCGCGCTCGCGCGCTCTCGCATCTGTTAGAATTTTTAATGTTGCGTTCTTTTTTCCAGTAGACACCCGCCGAGGGCGCGCGAAGACCCCCCCCGGGGCCTTCAGCAACTCGGGATTACCGACGCCGCGGCCCGAGCGGCAAGACAGGCGGTGGGGATCCCAGTGGGGGCCTCGGGGCCTCCCAGAGTGCTGAAGGTACTTGGAGGGCGGTTGTCGCGTGCCCTCGGCAGGTGTCACCCCGTGGGGAGTCCAAGTGACTCTGTGCGAGTTAGCCCCTGCGCGGGGCGGAGGGAGTCTGAGTGGCTCCGTGCGAGTGAGCCCCTGCGCAGGGCGAGACCAGTTGGGTCTGGACGCGAGTGGTGTTGGGATATGAGTGGGCCTGGGCGTGCGCTGGCGTGGGCGGGAGTGATCGTGGAAGAGTGAGTATGCATGAGCGTGTGTCTGAACGCAAGCGAGCAGAATACCCAAAGTTGAAATCTAAGAGGAATCCTGAGGCTGTCTGGAAGGCCGAACTGCACATCCGCGTGGCCGTCATACCCCTCGCAGGCATTACGCGCGGGCGTTTCCACGCGGATCATTGCAGGTTCTCCCGATCCCATGCTCGGACTTCCAGCTTTCTCCATACGATGCCCCCGCACCTCCATATCCCTCCATTCTCCTCTCCCCTCTGCTCGCCTCCGCGCCGTATCCCATTTCGGCTTAAGGATTTTCTGGGCCTGCCAGGCCATGGCGGCCCCCCGCCTCGACGGCCCCGCCCAGCGCGGGCCCGGCCATAACGGGCAGCATGTCTACTGGATGTGCATGGCCTGCCCCTCCGAGGAGACCGTCGCAGCGCAGGGGATCAAGAAGCCGAACGACTTCACCAGAGAAGCCTTCAGAGAGGCGTGCGTGGCAGCGCATGCCCACTGCGACTTGGACGTCGTGGAGACGATATGCTTCTTGGAGCCGCACGCGGATGGCCGCCCGCACTTGAACCTGCTCGTTCGGTGTGACCAGCAGTACAGGTGGTTGCCAGTCGCCAAACGTTTGCTTGAGCACCATCGGATCCACGTCGGGTTCGGCAGGAATATCAAGACGTGGCAGGAGGGGGTCATCTACGGCACGGTGGCTTCCGAGCACAAGCAGGAGTCCGGCCTGGACGCGGACTTCGTGCAGTGGCACAAAGCCGGGACGCCGACGCCAGTGAACCAGGTCGTCCCTCGCCGGCTGCAGGGCGAAGGCTTCGTCCGGAAAGTCCGGATGACCAACTTAGCCTTCTACGACACGTGCGTCGAGCACAACCTGCGCACGTACGACCAGGTCTGGGCGAGGGCCACCGAGCTCAACGAGCAGGGCGACAGGGCGCTGCTATCGTACCTTGTGGACAACGACGCCCGGGCAACCCTGGCCAAGGTGGCCCAGGCTGCGGCTTCGAAGGAAAAGCTGCGGCGCGCAGCTCTGGCCCGCGAGCAGCTGCTGGAGGAGTTCGTCTCGAAGAAGACTTGCTCGTGCTCGAGCCCTGGCTGGTGCTTCGGCATGATGAAACAAGTGCTTCGGGCAAACTCACTGGACGGGCCCTTCCAGCGGGAGGTCTTGGGGGCTATGAGAGCAGGCCAGGCCAAGCAGAGGAACATCTGCTTGGTGGGGCCGCCGGACTGCGGAAAGAGCTTCTTGCTGAAGGGTTTGCGAGGCCTCTTCGAGTGCTACGAAAGACCCGACAGCGGCTCCCACCAGCTGGAGGACTTGCTCACCGCGGAGGTAGTCTTCCTGAACGACTTCGAGTACGACTCGAAAGCGACCGAGTGGATGCCATGGGCATTCTTCAAGGACTTCCTAGAGGGGTCGCCGGTGAAGGTAGCGGTGCCGAAGCAGCGGGGCGGGAACACTGTCTTCGAAGGAGACGCCCCGGTCTTCCTGACGAGCCCCAGCGAGGTCACGCTCAAGAGGTACAACAAGGAGGTGGTGAACGAGATCGCGCAGATGCGCAAGCGCATCAAGTACCTCTGGCTTCCGCAGGAGATCCCCGCAGAGATGCGCCAGGAGGTGAAACGGGTCTGCCCCCACTGCTCTGCCCGGTTGTACTTGGAGGGGAAGGCCTTCCTGGACGGCCCAGCAGGCAACGCCCCGGCTGGCGGCGCGCCAGCGCCCGGACCTGTCGCCGCCGCCGCCTCCGCTGCCCAGAACGAGGAGCCCGCCGCCAAGAGGGCGCGGCTCGCAGAAGACTGCGTGGCAAAGCTAGCGCAAGCCAAGACCCTGTTAGACGTCGGCGCACTCGAGCAGGCAGAATTCGACCGCTTGAAAGCGGACCTCCTGGGGGGCATGTGACTGACGCACGCGGCGAACAGAAAACCGTCGTCACGCCGCCGCCGCCGCCGCCGCCGCCACCGCCGCCGCCTCCACCGCCGCCGCCGCCGCCGCCACCGCCGCCGCCGCCGCCGCCGCCGCCGCCGCCGCCGCCGCCGCCCGCCGCCGCCCGCCGCCGCCGCCGCCGCCGCCGCCGCCGCCCAAGGCCGTCTTCAGTGTAAATCACAGCAACTACAGCCGCCTGAGCCACCGGACCCTATTTTTTGCTACACCGAATGGCCCCGTAGTTGTTATGTAGTTGTTGGCTTTTCAAATAGAAAAACTATTTCTTATTAAAAAGCAAACAACTACATAACAACTACGGGGCCATTTGGTGTGTAAAAAACAATACAGAACGCCCCTGGGGGCCGTACTTGCTGTAAATTTACAACTCAGATGCATGTCTGCCGAGACGACGTCGCTGGGGGGGCTCAGATGCGGTGCCCGCAGCAGTTTTTGCTCAAGCAAGCCTCGCCTCGCGCAGGGACTCCACCGCGCGGCGGCCCGCGCGGGGCCATGGTGGCCCGCCGCGTTGCGCGCGGCCGCGCCGCCGCGAAGGCGTCGCACGCTCGGCTGACGCCTTTCCAGCGCGGCATGATTTACATGGGCAGCCTCGCCGGCATGACCATGACGGACATCGCGGCCTCGGTGCAGAAGTGCGACGGCAGCTTCCCGTCCGTCAACGTCGTCAAGGACACCATCGAGAAAGCCGAGGCCCACGGCGGGTCTGCGTGGGACGGCGCCTCGAGCGGGCGCCCGGGGCGGCCCCGGGAGACGCTCGGCACCCTCGACAGGGAGATCTCCAAGCTGGTGCACAAAATGCGCGGCAGCGCCGTCGTGACCGCCACTTACGTCCGCCAGGTGATCAAGGCGGCCCGCAAAGTCGGCGTCCGCACAGTGCAGAGGCGCCTTCGGGAAGCTGGATTGCGCTGGTTGCGCCGCCGGCGGAAGACGCTCTTGTCCCAGGAGCACATGGCGGCCAGGTTGGCGTGGGTGGTATTCACGGTGTCACAGACTCCGGCCATGCTTTCGCGGTGGGCGTACACAGACGGAACGTCCTTCTACTTGGCGCGCACGGCCGAGGAGCACTTGGACAAGGGGCGGGCAGCCCTTGGAACTCACGTGTGGCGGGCAGCAGATGGCCACGACGCGCTCTACCAGGATTGCGTTGGTCCTTCCTCATATGCGAAGGCCCAGGGGCGCTGCGTGCGCATCTGGGGTTTGCTCTTCGCCGGGATGCTCTGCGTCTACGTGCTGCCCCAGGGCGAGGTCATGAACGCGGAGTGGTACACCTGGATCATCGAGAACAAGTTCCGCGAGTGGCTGGACGCGGCTCACTCCCGAGCCACGCGCGTCTTCCTGGTGCAGGACCACGAGCGCTGTCTGTGGTCGGACGAGTCCCAGGACGCCTTGGAGGACGAGAACATCCACCTCGTGGAGGAGTTCCCGAAGTGCAGCCAGGACCTCAACCCCATCGAGGTGGCCTGGCGCGAAGTGAAGGCACGAATGGACGGCACGATGCCGGCGAAGCCGGAGCCTCGCCCAGTTTTCCTGCGTCGCTTGCACCGCGCCGTTGCGTGGGTGAATGCGAACAGGGCGGAATACTTGTGGTACCTGTGCCACGCGCAGAAGGAGTGGGCGCAGGACGTCTGGGAGGCGAAGCCTCCAGGCGCGCGCACGAAGCACTGAGCTGGAAAAAGCGTCATCATCGGACTCGCTTGCCTCATCATCGTCGCCATCGTCGTCATTGCCACCAGCAGCAGTGGCATCATCATCGACGCGCCAGTTGCCAGCCCAGACAGTTTCGAATTTCAGTTCAGGGGAATGGCACCAACAGACAGGCTCAGGTTTCTCTGAGGATTCGAACCCCGCCCCACTCGCGAAACCCTTGCCCCCGCGCTCTTACTGGCGTCGCTGCCCCAAAGAAAGCGCGCTCGCGCGCTCTCGCATCTGTTAGAATTTTTTATGTTGCGTTCTTTTTTCCAGTAGACACCCGCCGAGGGCGCGCGAAGACCCCCCCTGGGGCCTTCAGCAACTCGGGATTACCGACGCCACGGCCCGAGCGGCAAGACAGGCGGTGGGGATCCCAGTGGAGGCCTCGGGGCCTCCCAGAGTGCTGAAGGTACTTGGAGGGCGGTTGTCGCGTGCCCTCGGCAGGTGTCACCCCGTGGGGAGTCCAAGTGACTCTGTGCGAGTTAGCCCCTGCGCGGGGCGGAGGGAGTCTGAGTGGCTCCGTGCGAGTGAGCCCCTGCGCAGGGCGAGACCAGTTGGGTCTGGACGCGAGTGGTGTTGGGATATGAGTGGGCCTGGGCGTGTGCTGGCGTGGGCGGGAGTGATCGTGGAAGAGTGAGTATGCATGAGCGTGTGTCTGAACGCAAGCGAGCAGAATACCCAAAGTTGAAATCTAAGAGGAATCCTGAGGCTGTCTGGAAGGCCGAACTGCACATCCGCGTGGCCGTCATACCCCTCGCAGGCATTACGCGCGGCCAACCCTCGTCAAAAATAACCTCAAAAATGCCTCACGTAGCTGAACTGATTGTGGGAGATATCGGACCGAGTGCCGATGAGTGCGATGTACTTGTATGCGCCGCCCCTCCAATGTCGGTCATCTTTGAATTTTCGAGTCGCTCCCTGACCTTGGACCCCGACATGAAGGGGCGTCTATCGAAATTGAAGGGCGCGCCGATCGATAGGGCGTGCCGCATTATTTTTGAGGTAATTTGACGAGGGTTGTTCGTTTTCCGCGGGATCATGCAGGTTCTCCCGATCCATGCTCGGACTTCAAGCTGTCCATGCGCTGCCCCCAAACCTCCATATCCCTCCATTTCTCCTCTCACCTCTGCTCGCCTCCGCGCCGTATCCCATTTCGGCTTAAGGATTTTCTGGGCCTGCCAGGCCATGGCGGCCCCCCGCCTCGACGGCCCCGCCCAGCGCGGGTCCGGCCATAACGGGCAGTATGTCTACTGGATGTGCATGGCCTGCCCCTCCGAGGAGACCGTCGCAGCGCAGGGGATCAAGAAGCCGAACGACTTCACCAGAGAAGCCTTCAGAGAGGCGTGCGTGGCAGCGCATGCCCACTGCGACTTGGACGTCGTGGAGACGATATGCTTCTTGGAGCCGCACGCGGATGGCCGCCCGCACATGAACCTGCTCGTTCGGTGTGACCAGCAGTACAGGTGGTTGCCAGTCGCCAAACGTTTGCTTGAGCACCATCGGATCCACGTCGGGTTCGGCCGGAATATCAAGACGTGGCAGGAGGGGGTCATCTACGGCACGGTGGCTTCCGAGCACAAGCAGGAGTCCGGCCTGGACGCGGACTTCGTGCAGTGGCACAAAGCCGGGGCGCCGACGCCAGTGAACCAGGTCGTCCCTCGCCGGCTGCAGGGCGAAGGCTTCGTCTGGAAAGTCCGGATGACCAACTTAGCCTTCTACGACACGTGCGTCGAGCACAACCTGCGCACGTGCGACCAGGTCTGGGCGAGGGCCACCGAGCTCAACGAGCAGGTCCACCGAGCTCAACGAGCAGGGCGACAGGGCGCTGCTATCGTACCTTGTGGACAACGACGCCCGGGCAACCCTGGCCAAGGTGGCCCAGGCTGCGGCTTCGAAGGAAAAGCTGCGGCGCGCATCTCTGAACCGCGAGCAGCTGCTGGAGAGTTCGTCCTCTAAGAAAGACTTGCTCGTGCTCGAGCCCTGGCTGGTGCTTCGGACATGTGAAACAAAGTGCTTCGGGCAACTCACTGGACGGGCCCGAGGTCTCTTGGTGCTCATGCGAGCAGCCGGGCCAAGCAGAGTAACATCGGCTTGTGGGGCCCCGCCGGCTGCGGAAAGAGCTTTCTTGCTGAATGGTTTGCGAGGCCTCTTCGAGTGCTACGAAAGACCCGACAGCGGCTCCCACCAGCTGGAGGACTTGCTCACCGCGGAGGTAGTCTTCCTGAACGACTTCGAGTACGACTCGAAAGCGCCCGAGTGGATGCCATGGGCATTCTTCAAGGACTTCCTAGAGGGGTCGCTGGTGAAGGTAGCGGTGCCGAAGCAGCGGGGCGGGAACACTGTCTTCGAAGGAGACGCCCCGGTCTTCCTGACGAGCCCCAGCGAGGTCACGCTCAAGAGGTACAACAAGGAGGTGGTGAACGAGATCGCACAGATGCGCAAGCGCATCAAGTACCTCTGGCTTCCGCAAGAGATCCCCGTAGAGATGCGCCAGGAGGTGAAACGGGTCTGCCCCCACTGCTCTGCCCGGTTGTACTTGGAGGGGAAGGCCTTCCTGGGCGGCCCAGCAGGCAACGCCCCGGCTGGCGGCGCGCCAGCGCCCGGACCTGTCGCCGCCGCCGCCTCCGCTGCCCAGAACGAGGAGCCCGCCGCCAAGAGGGCGAGGCTCGCAGCAGACTGCGTGGCAAAGTCTAGCGCAAGCCAAGACCCTGTTAGACGTCGGCGCACTCGAGCAGGCAGAATTCGACCGCTTGAAAGCGGACCTCCAAGGAGGCATGTGACTGACGCACGCGGCGAACAGAAAACCGTCGTCACGCCGCCGCCGCCGCCGCCGCCGCCACCGCCGCCGCCTCCACCGCCGCCGCCGCCGCCGCCGCCGCCGCCGCCGCCGCCGCCGCCGCCGCCGCCGCCGCCGCCCGCCGCCGCCCGCCGCCGCCGCCGCCGCCGCCGCCGCCGCCCAAGGCCGTCTTCAGTGTAAATCACAGCAACTACAGCCGCCTGAGCCACCGGACCCTTTTTTTTGCTACGCAGAATGGACCCGTAGTTGTTATGTAGTTGTTGGCTTTTCAAATAGAAAAATTTTTCTTATTAAAAAGCAAACAACTACATAACAACTACGGGGCCATTTGGTGTGTAAAAAACAATGCAGAACGCCCCTGGGGGCCGTACTTGCTGTAAATTTCAACTCAGATGCATGTCTGCCGAGACGACGTCGCTGGGGGGGCTCAGATGCGGTGCCCGCAGCAGTTTTTGCTCAAGCAAGCCTCGCCTCGCGCAGGGACTCCACCGCGCGGCGGCCCGCGCGGGGCCATGGTGGCCCGCCGCGTTGCGCGCGGCCGCGCCGCCGCGAAGGCGTCGCACGCTCGGCTGACGCCTTTCCAGCGCGGCATGATTTACATGGGCAGCCTCGCCGGCATGACCATGACGGACATCGCGGCCTCCGTGCAGAAGTGCGACGGCAGCTTCCCGTCCGTCAACGTCATCAAGGACACCATCGAGAAAGCCGAGGCCCACGGCGGGTCTGCGTGGGACGGCGCCTCGAGCGGGCGCCCGGGGCGGCCCCGGGAGACGCTCGGCACCCTCGACAGGGAATCTCCAGGGAGGTGCACAAATGCGCCGGCAGCGCCGTCGTGACCGCCACTTACGTCGCGCCAGGTGGATCAAAGCGGCCCGCAAGATCGGCGTCCGCACAGTGCAGAGGCGCCTTCGGTAAGCTGGATTGCGCTGGTTGCGCCGCCGGCGGAAGACGCTCTTGTCCCAGGAGCACATGGCGGCCAGGTTGGCGAGGGTGGTATTCACGGTGTCACAGACTCCGGCCATGCTTTCGCGGTGGGCGTACACAGACGGAACGTCTTCTACTGGCGCGCACGGCGATGAGACTTGGACAAGGGGCGGGGCAAGCCCTTGGAAACTCACGTGTGGCGGGCAGCAGATGCCACGACGCGCTCTACCAGGATTGCGTGGTCCCTTCCTCATATGCGAAGGCCCAGGGGCGCCTGCTGTGCGCATTCTGGGTGGCTCTTCTCCGGGATGCTTGCGTCTACGTGCTGCCCCAGGGCGAGGTCATTGAAAGCGAGTGGTACACCTGGATCACGAGAACAAGTTCCGCGAGTGGCTTTTTGTTTATTTTTTTTGTTTTTTTTTTTTTT